TCTCATGTCATTGCAGCTTATGAGGTAGTGAGCTCCTTGTCATTAGAAGTATTCAAGAATGCTGCATATCATAGCCCTCTCTTGGAGATTCACAATGCACATTAGCATATTAAAGGTTCCCAGAAGTCTATTGTGAGAGAAACTGGCTCTCTTTTAGCTCCTCCTCCTCCCCCCCACCAGCTGTTTCTTTCCTACTTTTCCCTAGGGAAGGGGGCAGTGCGTGGGGATGAGAGGGGGGTGGTGGACTCTCTATTTTATTTTTATTTTTTTATTTTATATTTTTGCTGTACTATGGATGAGACCCAAAGCTCATGTTTGCTAAATACTCTTCTGCTGAGCTATGCTCCCAATATGAATATTTTTATTAAAACAATTGTACCAGTATGTTATACCAATATGTTTCTTTGGATCTATACATATATATACACATATACATATAATATATTCCTCAAAAATAAATTGTGTTTATTTTAGTGGTGGTGAGATTTAATATAATATCACTTTATTTTCCTTTGTATTCTTTTTTATTTCTTGGTGCCATTTGTAGGACTTGAACTTTGGGCCTTAGTTAGCATTTTTAGTCACAGTTGGTGTGCTTTACTAGGCCTTCAGTTCTACATTTTTCTGCTTAATTGGAAATAAGGCCTCATTTATTTGTCTATACTAGTTGACTTCAAACCAGGTTTTACTTCAAACCAGAACCTGACTTCTTTGCACTCTTTTAAATTAAGTAATCGCTGAGAGGTATGTATTGATTTTTTCAGTAGTGGCTTCTTTTAGCTGTCCTGTGCTTTTTTGAACTCAGGTCCTGGTGCTGAGCCTCTTTGTGCTCAAGGCTAGCACTCTACCATTTGCACCACAGCACCACTTCTATCTTTTTCTGAGTGGTTTGTTGGAGATAAGAGACTCACAGACTTTCCTGCCCAGGCTGGTTTTAAACTGAAATCATCAGATCTCAACCTCCTGAGTGTCTAGGATTATAGGCAAGAAACACTGGCACCCCGCTTGAGGCTTATTTTATTTTTGTTCTTTCAAAATACAAAGTGAAAACACAAGCAAGGGAAGGTAAAATTATCATCACAGAGTAACGAGGATAATAGTATCCGAATTTTTCTAAATTTATTTCTATGACTTTCAGGGTCACAAAAATCCCTTCTCCCCTGTCCATGTCTTTGCAATCACCTGAAAGACATTGTAGTCACATGGGACCCACTATGATGAAATGCTAATGACAAGATAATGACATACTCTCAGCCAGTGTCTCTCAGTATAGATTCACTTCCTAATGAACAGTTATAAAGCTATTAAACTTATGCTTTTAGAAGTTGTAACTCTGCCTAGCACTGGGAGTTCATGCCTATAATCCTACCTACACAGGAAGCTGAGATCTGAGGATTGAAGTTTGAAGCCAACCCAAGCAGGAAAGTCCTTAGACTTATCTCCAATAAACTATTTTAAAAAGCCTTAAAATGGTGCTGTGGCTCAAGTGGTACAGTGCTCACCTTGAGCAAAAGAACCTCAGGTATAGGGCCCAGGTCAGTTATAACTCTGGTTCTTTAAGCAATTTGGCAAGTAGCATCTTTCCTTAATCTTTGGGGTCTTTCACAAGATAGAAATAAAATACTCATGAACACTGATGTTCCAACCATTTATATTCTGTAGTAAACAGTTTATATCTTCTCTTTTCATGGAGCTAACTTTCTCAGTATCATGTTATAAATACATGTGCAACTTACAAATTAAAGCTGCAGAAATGAGAAAAAATAAAAAAAACAGAGGTAGTAAAAAAACATTTGTTTTTATTTTCCATTATGCCTCATTAAAAAAGATACAATTTAATTAGTAGTACATTATTGAACTGAAAGAACCAAGTAACTAGTTTTGGTCAAGGATATGAATTTACAGTTTACAAACACCCACTAAAACAATTAAAAATGAAATAAATATATTTACATTTCATATTTCTGATATTTTCATTGCATTTTAATATGTATAAAATATAGAACATTTATAATAGTTTATTTTTCTTCAAAACTAAATTATAATGTGCAAAGGAGTGATGATTTCTCAAGTGTTAGGTAATAAGAATAAATCATGAATGACAATTTTAGAAGTAAAGATAAAGTGATTACTGAAGGAAAGTCAAGAATATAGCAGTGATAGTAGCAAAAGGGTTTGTTTCTTTTTAATATTGAAACACCTACACTTACCTTAAAAAGTTAAGCACAAGATTGCCCTTGGACTTTTAGTGCTTCTCCACACAACTGATTCCAAGCAGTAATTTGAAATTACTGTTAGGTTTATTACTTTCCCTCAGTCATAAATCAAACTTCTTTTAAATCAGAGCACTCTGCATAGACAAAGTTTATGAATAAGCTTTGTCACTGAGAATGAGGGAAATATTCACCCATAAACCAATGCACCCAAAGGAGGCCTGATTTCTCTGCTCACTAATGCAGACTTGGCATTTATTTTCAAGTAATTGCTCTTCTTCTTGCAGAATGACAGTTTTATGAGTGAAGCTTTAAAACAATAAGTTGGTTCATGCCTGAAATATGGGTAAGAAATGGCTACCTAATTCTTCTTTCTTTAAAACTAAGATTAGATGGTAAGTACTGGGGGAATGCATTACATTTATAGCATCTCTTAAAGCATTTTTGAAATAAATACATTTTGCAATATAACAAATCAAAAATTCTCCCTCTTTAATGCACTTCAGCTTAAATGATTTGTTATTCTTTATCGGGCAAAATAAATTATTGTCATTTTGCAGTGTTCAAATAATTCTGAACTCTCTTCTCTCACTGAACTATTTATATTATGCTCCTTTAAGCTCACATTGTGTACACTGTAATGAATCATTTCATGATTACACACACAGGCACACATTCACACATGAATATACATACATAAATATGCCAAGGCACTGGAGGAGTTAACCTATAATTTAACATTCTGTTATTAAACTCTGCTCAATACACAAAAATTTTATGAAAAAAATTACATCTGACCTAATTTGCATGAGAAACAGAAATCATGAGTATTTTTGTTCATTTCTAAACTTTCTCACTCAAGTAGTCCAAGTCATAATGAATGACAATGGCTTATTATCACACTGTAATGCATATATTTAGTCATAATTGTTAGATTTATGAAAAAAAGAACTGCATTTTCCTAACTGGTGGCTATCCCAATAATCATGTTAAATGCCAATTGGTGTTTTTTCTTCAATCAATAGTATCAAAAATAACAATAAGGATATTATCCTAGGTTTTAATTCAAGTAACAATTTGCAATGTAATTTAAAGTACATTAACTGTATATGAAACATATTCTTTCAATATAATTTAAGAACATTTATTATATATATACATATATGTATATGTGTGTCTGTGAGCATTTTGGGCAAAAGTCATATTCATATATATATATATATATATATATATATATAAAACCATTGTACAGAATTGCTGTTGTTATATACTTGAGCACAGGCTAGATTTTTATGTTAGGACAAAAATGTCTACTTGATTAAATGTTTGGTATTCTTTAAAATAAAATTTTAATACAATTTGACATTAAGTATAATGTTTGTATGATACATAACATTTTTAAATTTTTTATTTTTATTTATTGATTTGCTTTTTGACAACTGCAGAAAGATCATGGAACTTGAGTTCGTGATCTTCCCTACACCTGGGCCAAGCTGAAATTTCACTTTTGTAATTAGGAGAAGTCAATAGTACTTGCCAGAGTTGAGACTCCTTAAATTTTGCTACAAGTGTTGAGTTTGGTTTATGTAGTATATATTAACCACAATTTGCTATCTTAATTCTAATTATGTACTCAATTTTAGGATCAAAATAAAATATATTTAACAATCTTTAACAACCAGCTTTCCCAGGTTCTTTTGATAATGCATCTTAGATCCAAATTAATACTTGTTCAAGTCCAATTATGAAATATATTTTTAATTTAATGTATTTCAGTAATCTGATGTAATGATTATTTCTAATAAATATGAATTTTGATATTGACACCGAACATGTGTCCATAAAAATAAATAATTTTATTTCTTTTTGGAGTTTTCAAATGTCTATTAGACACTAAGTCAATTTGGTTAGAAAACATTGTGATAGATTTAGTTAGAAAGAGGTAAGTTGTAAGAAGTGTGTATTTTTTGTTTTGTTTTTGTTTGACTTCTTAATAAGAAGCTTGTTTAAAAGCAGAGAACAATAAATCTGTAATGGATGACAGGGAAAGTTAAACATAGTATAACCAGTTACTGAGTCATGGGTGCGTATCTTCAAAACTTTCCAACTTCTAGCTTTTCCTAATATTCCTAAAGTAAAATACCCATAGAGCTTGGCTTTTCTTAATCTTTCTTCATGATATGCTAAGATAAATATTTTAACTTGGATTTTTCACATCTCACTATGAAGAATCATAAAATGATATGCATTTTATTCATAATCTGACATGTGGATTTGTAACTTCTTGCACAATCCTTTAATAAAATTATTACTCAAATGAAAATAATAGTTCTGAGAATGCTTTGAGGTTTAGGGTTAAAAATATTTATACCTTATTTGTTGATAATTTCTCTACACAAGGGTTTTAGGGTCACTCAGAATTTATGAAATTCATTTGATATTAAATATCATTAGGTAATCATAAATTTATCATAAAGGGTAGAAGAGGTATTCGTGCATAATTTTGTCATTCATGATTAAGTCATTATGTTTTGGGCATATTTTAGAATATTAACATTGGCAATTAATAAAACATCTGAATCTCAGCAATGCCAGGTAGATATGGTCCATATTGTGTTTTGTGTATCACAGTCAAGATACTTGTGTTACTCTTAAAAGGAGTTGAGAATCAGATAAACTGGTGACCCAGTGCAAAATTATGTTGTGAAATAAAAAACAAATTACACCAGCAAGTTAAAGTGCTTCCTTTTTTGATAAGGTTTTTTGTATGTTTGTTTTTGTGGGAATTTTTTTTGCATGCTCTTGTCAATTTTTTTAAAACCTCTTTACACTCATAATACAATGATAGGGCATTAGTTCATGATCTGGCCCAATATGCATTGGTCATACAAAATAATCTAAAATACAGAAATAACTATTTAATTGGTATTTTATTTATAGGTAGCTTACAATTTTTATATTATTTACATATTCTTTATACCATATATTCTTTTTTCTTCAATTTTGTGAAAGCAGTGAACTGGTAGAAATCAACCAAATGAGAACTGGCAGTTTTGTTCTTTTTGGATTATTTACAGATGCCTTCCAGAATAGCAACATGCTAGAGATGCCTCATGACCTCTTTTCTGCTGAAACTTGACTCTGACTCCATTCTTGACTTGATGACATCACTATTTCTTCAAGGTGTAAAGGATAAATACATTTCTTTGTTTATCTAATCATGGTAAGTGTCAAGGCAGACATCAGTATGTCAAGTCATATACTTTGCCTTGCTTGTAGTAGCAGAGCTGGAAGCAACAGAAGCAGTAGCCTGGTTGCCTAAAAATAGAGGGTCCAAACAAGCTACTTTGGCAGCAAAGAATGAATGAATACAGTGAAGAACAGCAAATAGATTTGAAAATTCCAACTCCTGAAAGGAAAAGAGAAATAGGTCAGATAGCACAAAAATAGACTTAAAAAAAACTGAGAGTAAATAATATTTTAAGTGCTGTAAACTTATCTACAAGGACCAGTATATACACAAAAGTAATTTTTAATGTAGACTTTTTTGGTCAATATATTTATTGAAGATTTGCATCTGTGTAAGAGATAAAAGGATTAAATATTCTTATCATCTATGAAAGTCATTTCAGGTTTTGTAATTCCTCACAAAGTTGAATTTTACTTCTTATTCAGTTCAGACAATCTTGAAAATACTTTAACGAATATTTATATGTCTTTATATGCACTTTAAATGATAAACATTCATTAGAACAAGTAAAAACATATTTACTCTTTTCCAGAAAGAATAACTATCATTGAAATGACATTTGAAATGACAAAAACAAGAAGTAAGAATATTTATGATGCTATAAGTCAAAACAAAAAAGTAATTATTTCATTAATTATAATTGTGCCAGTTAATTGCATAATTAATTGTTAGTAGCAATTAATAATGTAAAGAAAATTAAAATCAGGTAGAGCCCACTAATTAGTTTTGGAGTTTTAGAAATAGGTTTCCCAGTTTGATCAGTTAGATTATTGGTAGTAACAAAAGGATTTATATTGTAAGAAAACAGAAAATCTTTTTTCCAATCTACAAATGCTATTAAAGTAGCTGCAAAACCCCAAGGTAATGTTTAGAATAGATTTGAAGAGATAATATCATGAATATTTTTATGAAAGGCCAACAATAGTCTTGTAACATGTTTTAATGCTATGGGGATTATAAAACTCATACAAAGCCTGTAATCCTAGCTACTCCAAAGGCTGAGATTGAGGATCATGGTTCAAAGCCAGCCCAGGCAGGAAACTCTGTGAGACTCTTTTCTCCAATAAACCACTAGAAAACTGGAAGTGGCTCTGTGTGTGGCTCAAGCGATAGAGCGCTCGCCTTGTGCTGAAGAGCGATAAGGCCCAGAGTTCAAGCCCCCCTACTCTTGTACGTTTGTATGTTAAAAAGTTAATATGCAGAACTGGTCCCATTGTGGGTAACAAATAAGTAATAAATTATTGAAATTGCTGATCAACTTATTGCTATTTCATCATATATTTGCAACACAGGATGCAGAATTATAGTTAATTTGCACACTAATCATTGAGTCATAATTCATACTATTTGCAGTGGAAGATAATACAAATCATCCAATCAACTAAGACTCATTAAAATATTGGCATATATCATAGAGCCATTTAAACAAAACAAATCACTTTAAGAGAATTTTCTTTGATTAGGATCTAAGGTTACAGTAGAGTGGAAATATAGTCATAGGCCTATGCCACAGAGAAGGTAGGGCTCTGATGTCACAATGGATACTTTAAAATCTTCTGTACTTTTCAATCAGTTTCCAGTGGCAACTGGTGACATTCCAGAAAAAATTGAAAAACATTCTTTACAAATTCTCATTCTTAAAATTCTTAATTAATTCATGTCGGTATTGATGTTTGAATCTAATTATTCATACTTGCAAGAAAGGTGCTCTATCATTTGAGCCATATATCCAGCCCTAATGCTCTGCTTACTTTTGAGGTAGGCTATTGCTTTGTTCTAGCCAGGACCATGAACTTCCATTTATGCTTTCTACCATAGTTAGAAGGACAGGAATTTACCAAGGTACCAAGTATCACCATTGATTGTGTCCAGTATTGGTTAAAAGTATTTTACCTGGGCCAACCTTGAGAGAGAGAGGTCAACCTCTCTGTCTCTATCTCTCAAATAACAAGAATGATAACAAGCATGAGCCATCAGCATACTTCATTGTTATTAATGAGCAATAAGTTGCTTATAAACTAAAAGGTTTAGTCTTGCCTAAACTCACCCTGAAAATTCTCCATTTACTGTAGTGCACTGTATGCAGCCAGTTTGTCTTAATTATCTTACACAGAATAATTTTGGTGTAAAAGCATTTTAACAAATTTACCAGATATGAAAAACGCCAGGCATTTTTGGAAAATTCAAGATTTTTCTGTGCATTATTGAAAATAAAACAATAATGAAAACATTGAATTCTTTCTTGGTAAGAAAAATATTTCTTGATAAGAAAAAATAAGCTGTTACAATTGATCAAAATACTCTAATAATCATTTTTTCTCAAAAAATATATATGTATTTTTTGTCAATTGTGGGACTGCGCTCTTCAGCTCAAAGTGAGCGCTCTACCACCTGAGTCACAATACCACTTCCAGTTTTCTAGTGGTTTATTGGAGATAAGTCTCACAGAATTTTCTGCCTGGGCTGGCTTTGAACCGTGATCCTCAGATCTCAGCCTCCTGAGATTACAGGATTACAGGTGTGAGCCACTGGCACCTGTCTTCAAAAATATTTTAAAAATTCAATATTATATTTTGATTGCAGAAATTATCAAATGCCTCAAAATTAAGATTAAGGTTACCAATTTTTCTTGCCTACCTTGTTAATTATCTGTCAATAAAAAGTGTAGATTGGGACTTTAACACTTTTACATCTTTATTTGGGGATTGAGTGGTGGTAACAATGCCAGGTAATTAGAAAGGACAGCAGTAGACAGAGTTGAATTCAGATTTTGCCTTTGATTTCAATGTCAGCTCATCCACAATATCTTGTCTTAAAAAATCAGAATTTTAAGTAGAACACAGTCTCTAAGATTCAGTAGAAAAATCACTCACTATACTAATAGCATAATATTAAACTGCATAAAAATGCCATCAATATTTGCTAAAATTGATATGATGGTGAGTTTAGCATTATCTGGTAAAATTATTTAATAATACCAGTATAATTGATTAAGCACATGTGTAAAATGAGAAAATTGAAAATCTGAATATTGACATAGAAACTTTAGAAAACAAATAGAAGACATAAAAGAGCTAATGGAGGGCTGGGAAGGTCGCTCAGTGGTAGACTGCTTGCCTTGAATGCATGAGGCCCTGAGTTCGACTCCTCAACACCATATAAGAAGAAAAAGCTGGAAGTGGTGCTGTGGCTCAAATGGTAGAGCACTACCTTTGAGCTGAAGAGCTGAGGGACAGCACTCAGGCCCAAGGTTCAAGCCTCATGACCAAAAAAAAAAAAAAAAAAAAAAAGCAAATGGAATCTTAAACTTCCTGGATCAACAGGAAAAGGCAAGGATCACAGGAGAGAAAAAAAATCAGTGAACTAGATAAAAGAACAGTGAAAATAAACACACAGTATGAAAGATTTTAAGAAATGAAAAAAGAAATGACCATCAGTATACTGTGACATGAAAAAAATTATATAAAAGTTATGTCATCAGAGTTCAAAAGGAGAAGAATATTGAAGAACTAAAAAATATAAAAAAAGATATAATAACTGAAAATTTGTCAATGTTAGAAGAAGTGTAACTTTTGAGTGGAATTCAAGATAAACTCAAAAAGATTCTTCACAAGACACAGCAGATTTAAATTTCTCAAAACTAAAGCCAGCAAGAAATCTTGATAGGAGCAAGAAAGAAAACCTTACCTATAGAACACAAATCAAAGACAGAAATTCTTATCAGAAATCAAAAAGCCAGAAGCAAGTGACACAACAATTTTCAACTGCTAAAAGAATAGAACTCTACACTGAATATTGCTTAAGACATTCTGGAATATAGAAGTCCTAACCTGAATAAAATAACTCAAAAAGGGAGCCAGTTTCAGGTATCTCATACTTGTAATCCTAATTACTTGTTAGATTTAGGAATTGGCAATCAAAGTCAGCCTGGGTAGGAATGTGACACTCTTACTTTCATTTAATTAGCAAAAATATGGGAAGTAGAAATGTGGCTCAAAAAGTAGAGTTCTGCCATTGATCAATAAAGCAAAGGAATATCAAGAAGCAACTCTATTTGAACTATCCTTTAAAAACATAAAATAACTGGGAATAAACCTAACCAAGGAAACAAAAGGCCTTTATAGCAAAAACGATTTCATGCAGTCCCAATCAAATTTACAATGATGTTCTTTACTGAGACAGAGAAAGCAATCCAAAACTTCATATGGAACAACAGAAACCCCGAATAGATAAACAATTCTATGCAAAAAAAAAAAGCAATGTTGATGGTATCACAATCACAATGGTATCACAGACCTCAAACTACTACAGAGCTATAACAAAAACAGCTTAGTATTAACTCAAAAATAGACCCCAAGACAGAAGCAGACAAGGAAATCCAGAAATCAGACCACATACTTAGAGTTACCTAATATTTAATAGGGAGCCAAAGTTATAGATTAGGAAAAAAGATAGCTTTTTCAATAATTGGGAAAACTGGGCATCCATATTAAAAAAAAAAAAACTAAAATTGGATCCCTGTTTGCTACCATGAACTAATATCAACTGAAAGTGGATCAAATACCTCAATGTCAGACCTGAAACTTTGAAATTACTGCAAGAGGGAGAAGGAAAAACTCTAGAACTTATAGGCATAGGCAGAAACGTTTTGAAATAATTCCTAAAAGCAGATAGGAGATAGACTTGACAAATAGGATTACCTCAAAATAAATGTATGAGTTGGTGTCTCACATCTGTAATCCTAGCTATACCAGAGACTGAGATCTAAGTATCACAGTTCAAAGCCAGCTCAGGCAAGAAAGTCTGTGAGATTCTTATTTCCAATTAGCCATCAGTAAACCAGAAGTAGTGCTGTGGCTCACAGTGGTAGAGCATTAGCCTCGAGTGAAAACGTTTAGTGACAGTGTCTAAGCCTTGAGATCCAGCCCCATAGCCAACTTAGAAAAAGAAAAAAAAAAGTTTTGCAAAGGAAAGTTACTAAACCAAAATTGTCTCATTCCAAACAAATCTCCAAAAGGAAACTGACATATATAATGTGTAAAACACATCTTATGACTCAATGGCTCTTCATACCTCCTAATGAATGACATTTTATCCAAAGCAATCATGAATCTATGCATCTATAGGCAGAAACTTTTTGCAAAGAGTCACAGGAGCAC